TTCTGTGATTCTGTGTGATTCTGTGATACTGTCAAGACCAGTATGGAAAATCAGTTTTTAAAAACTGTAAATTGTTACAATGAATCAACTTAAATTGTTAATGCATACACCATTAAAATAACTACATTCTACTTTTAGCTTTAACTGTGTTTTACTTTAAATTATTTAAACCAATCTTTCCTTAAAAACATCCCAATAAGAGTAACTTCTTCTATGAACACACATATATACAGGTCTCAGAATTCTATCAAAAAAATATTTTGGGTAGCTTAATTCTGCATTAACATGTGAATACAAACAAAAATATCTGAATGCAATAAAATTATGAAATAAAGATTAGTTACTCAAATAATTTATAGTAGAAAATTTATGCTACAAAAATTAACAAGCATGATATATAACTTTTAGCTGCAAAGACTAGATCAGGATTTCAAATACTGCCATGCATTTAGAATCCAAACAAACACTCCTTTTATGTTATGTAGTCCCCCAATAATTATTGCCCTGTACATGATGTAGTACTACACATTGTACAGAATTTACAAAAACAGAAGATGTGAACTTTAGAACTTACAGATCTGAATGTAAAACCTCTTGCTACTCAGAGTTGTCATTGCAGTGAACTGGTCGCTTTCATTTTTAGTTCTGACAAATTCCATATTTAAATTCTCTCCATCTCTTAAATGAAATATTTTTGCTCCAAACTCAACATCAAGGACACTAAAGGAATCACTAGGCAAGACAGTGATGGGAAGTCCTAAAGAATTTATTATTACAAATGGTGCTCGGTCTTTTTTGAAGATGTCTGAAGTTTGACTTGCTGCTTCAGCAAATGCCTAGAAAGCAAAGTATAGATACAAAACACAAATATACTGAATAAGACTTCATCAAGACAACCCGTGCAAACATTAATTTAGCAATTCTGACACTGCATAATTAAGTAATCTTTCTCACCGTGCCCAAATTACTCAACATTTGTAGCCCACATTTGGATAGTGTAATGTTCATCTGGTCTTTTGAGGAAACATTTATTACTGTTTTATATTCCGGAACTTTGTAGTTTTCTTCTTCTGCATCTGATTCAACCAATGCTTTTTTAGCCTTCTTCTTCATCTGAAAGGAGATTTTTAAACAATTCTTATTTGACCATTCCTTCTGTAGAAGCAAGTTTCACTTTGTACTTTTTCATTTGCTTGAAGGACAAAAATAAGTCACATAAAATACATTTTCCTGGCCTTCAATATTTTTATAATTACATCATTTCAAAAGTTATCTTTCAAATCAGAACAAGATGTGAGGTTTGATGTACTGTCTTTCTCCTGCATTAGGTCTCATATCCTTCTGGAAAATTCTTAGGAACATTTTTAATTGCAATTTCTTAATCGCAATATCTCAGTCCATAATCTTTACCCTTTTGAGGCCATTACTGTAGAAAGTTGTTTGATAATAACAGTCCTAGGAAAAGGGCACTTTTTCCATTCTAAGCAACCTCTCAGGCTAAAAATACTTGAAAATTTTTTAAAAAAAAACAGAAAACAATGAAACAAAGCAGTTAAGGCAGAAGGAAAGGGGGAAGAAAAAAAAACCCTAACGTATTTCCCCTCCTTAGATAAATGCTTATCTACTTTGAGACCAGAATCTAGACTATTTCCTTATGGAAGACGGAACTGAAGTCATAAGAGCTCTATTTCTACAGTGCACTTTGTACTAATCAATAACAGGTATGAGTTTTTCCAACAAGTTTCTGCTAAAGATATTACTGTGGAACAACGTAAGTCATCTTCTATCTTTCCAAAGTCACTGAATGCATCATTAGCATATGACCTAGCTTTAGAGCAACTGATATAAAGCTATTATGATTATCCAGTGCAACTGGAATCAAATCTTCTTGACACCTGAAAGACAATTTTATTTAAAAGATCTGAGTATGGATCTTCACTTACGCAAGAGCTGGTTTCATGCACTATTTGTGATAAAGTCTCAGTAACCAACAAGATGGAGCAAAATTGTTAGATTAGTCTCAGCAATGAAAGATGGAGAGTCATTTTTTTTTTCCTAAGGTATTGAAATGGAAGATTTAAGTTCAGCTTTAGAAAAGGTACCTTGATTTCAAGAATCCATGGTTTGAATAAATCAGTCTTCTCAACTTCTAGTGGTTCAAGCAAAGGTTCCCACACCCCAAACATCTCATTAAAATAGTGTACCTATTGAAATTCAGAAGTCAATTAGGAAATTACATACATAACTGTTAAATCAATTAAAGTTCTACAGGTTTTAAAAGACTTAAAATTCTGATTTGCAAGTGTATTAATTACTTCAGTAATATAAAAGATCTATGATCAGACTGCACTTGCAGCTCCCACCAAAAGATGAAGTCAATGTATTAGAGAAAATGAATGAGGCAGCTAAGCCTCTACTGCAAGGACTCACTTCCAAACAAGTGGCATAAGGTATGTCACTCAAAATATAATCCTGGCTGAAAATGTAGGCACCAGGAGTCTAAAGTACTATAAATAAAGAAGAATCTACCTACAACAACCACTGAATGTCACGTCACTAATTTCCAAATATAAGCCAGTTTGGATCTTTTATGTACAATACTGGTATCACATAGTATTTTATAAAATTGACACATTAATACATTCTACTGTAATCTTAAATTAAGATTGTCGAAGAGTTTTGGCCAGTTGCTAGTCCAAAATTTAATATTGATGCAACAAGCCTTTGTGAACTTTAGTGCAGAGTATAAATGGGAGACTGTGTAACATAAATTACTGCCATTAATACATAACATATAAAGTATTAGATTTGCATTTTCACTATCTTAACACCTCATTCCTGTCCCGCTCCCACAACATGTATCTGCAAGAGTTTAGTAATCAAATATATGGATTATTTTCTTTTATTGTCTTAGCACAACAGGATTAATATCTTAGGAAAAATTTTCCTTCTTATGTAGGATTCCTCACCTCTAGCTCAAGGCGAGAACGCAGGTTGATTAGAGTACTCCAGTTTTTTACTTCTCCAAGAAATGAAGACTTGGCTAAAAGCATCGGTACAGTTCGGTGCCCAACGCCAGCTTCAAGTGTTAGAAAAACAGATTCTATACTCATTTTCAATGACTCTCCTGTGGGAACCAGTTCAGTGGTTGGATTTGTATCTTCATTTTCATTGGACTCTTCAAGAAACCACATTTTTAGATTTTTTATATCTTTCTTATTCCACAGGTCTGGAGGAATTTGACTAATCTCTTCTTCTGTTGTTTCTGCAGTTTGATAAAGGGCTGATGTAATAGTAATTACTGTGTTTATAATTATTGGTGAAACCTACAAGTAAGAAGTTGGAACAATCAGAAACGAGAAGCTACTACAGGAAACAGTTATCCACTTTCAGACACAAAATTATAATGAATATGTTACACTAACAAAACACTTCTGTTCTCTACGGGACTCTTACAATTGAAAACTCATTCCTTTCCACAAGCTACAGTTCAACCTTTTCAGATTTTCAACCCCCGCCTTTCCTCCAGATGAGAGATTTCTAAACTGTATTATCCAACGCTCTATTTGAACACTTAAAAACTTATCTCTGCACATCAGGTCATCCTATAAAACACAGACTCCAAAACCACAGCATTGTGACACGATCATTAATTTTCAATTTTGTTTGTTTTTACACACTAAAGAGGTAGATGATCTGATGAAAAACAGAAACAATTCCCCAATCCAGTCATTCCTGATTTTATTTTTTAAGAAACATATCCCACAAGCAACTTCAAAGCCTTCTGAGCAGGAAGTAGTAGAGAACTAAAAACACAGTAAAAGTCTACCTACTTTTATTGTTAAAGATTTAATTGTTAGATCAGCCGTCTGTGGATTAGTATCTGACTGTTTCATTTCAAAGAAAAAGTCACAAGGCTGTAATACCTATAGAAAAGTATAAAACCACATGTTAAATATAGAAAAAAAGTCTTTTAAAGATCATACACTTTTAAATATGCACTGAAAGGAAAATTTACCATTATTTGGTTTTTCAAAATTAAGAGTAACCTAGACACTAATAACATGTTCAAATGTAAAGGGAGGGAAAAAAAAAAAAAAAAAAGAAAAGTATCAGAAGCATCACCCCAGCCATTCTCAATCACTAAAGATTCAAATGTCAGCTATAGTAAAATGCATTACACTTCAGTAACTCCATTTTTAGGTAAAGTCTGCAGATGTCTTCAAATGCACTGCATCATCATGTCCGTGACTTTTGAGGAGAACCAGACTTTTCAGTTAAGGGAAACACAGCAACAACAGTTACAGTTTTCCTGAATAAAGATATCACTATTTGAATCACAATCATTCAGTTCCAGATTTATTTTACAATCAGTCCTTGCATATCCCCACTTGCCAATGTTTACCACAAACCCAAATCTAAAGTACACTATAAACAAAATCATAGTGCTATGTGATTAATAAAGCACGTAGATGTAGTTAGACTCTACTGGTACTGTGCTGACAGGAAAACTTGCTCTCCAGTCTCTACCTGAGAGAGTAAGTCTTTAAAAATGGTAATTCCAAATCATATTGATTTTGCAATCTTTACTGACAACTCTGTCCATATCTGAATCAGATGCTGGGAGAATAGAAACACCATGAATCAGTTGTACCATACTTTTCCCAAGTGAGTATGATCTAACAGAAGTTTTTGTCCATATTATTATTTTATTCCCTACTGCTCAAATTATTTTTTTCTTCATCTGTGTTACAGACAGGAATGCAATATAACATGTTCTTCTTTAGACCAAGATACAAGTCAGAAATATCATCATTTGTGCTACTTAAATCCAGAGGCTAGTTTCCTGGGTATCTGGAGCAACTTATTCATCAGGAGTATGAATTCATCCATCACCATTGTCCCAATGTTCAGGCAATATAAAATCTTCACATCAGTATCAGCCTTCAGAAGTCTTGTAATCTTCATATAAGTTCACATCATATAATTTTTAAAAGTGGCCATGGAATGTCACTTGAATCTCTGTTTCTCCAATTATTTTCCCAGACTGAAATTGTATTGTTTTCAAAAAACCTGAGTTCAGATATTTCCTTACTTACATATTTTCAAAAGGGGCAGTTATGCTACTATAAGCAGAGAACATTTTTTTTTTTTGACCTCTACTACTCTGTTGAGATGTTTCTGAATCTTTCAAAGAAGGTAGTGTTTTAAGCATCAAAACTAAGGTCCTCTGAAGTTTCCTCCAATTATAGCATAAGCATCCATTCAGATACAAGTCTTTTTCTCTATTTCTACAGTCTGAGAGAAGAGACTCTGGCAGAAGATATTCTTGTAAGAGGGAAAGTTTAGTGTGAAGCCTTCTAATTGCTTTCTACAAAGCTAGCCACATTTGTGCCACATTCGCCAGCCACGGAAATGGAAGTCAAGCATTGTGTTGCTGCTATCATTGCACGTGCTGCACTTTCTCAATGACTAGATTGTTAACAGATTAATGCAATCAAAGACTGCGTCTACCGAACGAGTAAACTGAGCTGCTATGAAAGTATCTGGTAAGGAGATGAAGTGGAAGTCTCAGTCCTTTGTGGTTACAGCTTTGGTCCTTCCTACATAGCTCCATAAAGCAAGCAGGTATTAAAGCAGAGCTGAACAGACTCATTCTTCAAAATTCACCTGTAGCCTGAGGACACAGATAACAGTTGGAGATACTGTCAAATTGAACTTTTCTCTGATACAACAATACTGTTACAGAATTAACTGAAATATAACTTGCTGCAGAAGCAGAAAAGCTGTAAGAGGTTCCAGAAGTCAGTATACTCCCACCTGGCCAGTAACTAACAAGCCTGACTCTGTTGCTAAAATACAAACAGGCAGTTTTAATACCATGATCTATGGACCTTAACACAAAGGAATTTATGAACAGCATACCATAAGTAACCTATTTCATAATACATACTTCCTGTTCTGTGTGACCCTTTCTTATTCACTTACATAGCTACTGAATGCAAAGTTCAGACTGAAAGTATTCCGAACTTACTACATTGCATTTGAGATAGTGTACACTCAAAATTATCTTTATGTGACTTACATGGGATATAAGAGATTATTAACGTTTTACTCCTATGAGCTCTTAATTTTAGCTTGTCATGCGAAGCAAACCTCAAAGTCACAGATCAAGATGATGCTTCTGGCATATCAGACAGAATAAAATTAACAAACTAAGTTAGCCACAAGATTTTACTCATATATCTGTAATATATATTCTAATGACGAAAGCTTAATAAATAACTTGCATTCTAGTAGTATAAGTTACAAAGCACCTTTTAAACACAAACAGGATATTTGCAAACTTACCGTAGTAATGTTCCCTTTCCTTTTTTCTGGAAGAAATGGGCATGCTTTCATTTGTATTTCTTTAACAGCAGCTGTCATGCTATACCTTTCAGGGCTATTTTTAATGAAGACCTCACATTGTGTTGTAACCACCAATGCAGGAGCATCGCTTCTTGTTAAATCAGCCACAAACACAATCTCTGGATTTTTAACAATAACGTTCATTTCCATTGTAGATACAGGCTGCACAGGTGCTTCAAAAATACAAACTGTTAGATGAACTGTTCAAAGATTATATAGTCATTATTTACATCTCTCTTTTAGTGATAAGACCTAGCATAACTGGTGTCAGAAAACCTGCAGATCTCTGCAAATGACTTATTTCTAGGCTTTTCACTGGAGATACAAAACCATTAAAGCACTAATTACTTTCAGATACAACAAAAGATTCCACAAAGCTGCTTTGTCAAAATGAAAATGCTAACAGTATCACTACTGTTATTACTCTACATGTATCAGCTTCTCTAAATATCTACATCAGCCAGCTATGATAGGGTCTTACGAAAATGCTCTCTAGAGCAGAAAAACATATTTTAACAAACTAAGTTAGCCACAAGATTTTACTTATATATCTGTAACATATATTCTAATGATGAGAGCTTCAGAAATAACTTGCATTATTTTCTAGAGCAGAAAAACGTTTTTTCTGCTGTCTGGAGCAGAAAAACACACATTTTCCATAGGACAATAATGCAGCATTTACTAGCGCTCGATGTAACCATTTTCGGCCTTACTTTTATGTAAGACTTCCTAATTTGTTTAGATTTTTATCATCTTTTAAATAACCACAGTAGGACTAGCTTAGGTGGCCTAACACCAGCAAAGGTACTTAGGGTACAGGAAAACAAAAACAAATAAAAAGGACTTGCCTTGCAGATCTCATGTGAACTACCTGAGGCCTGGAAGCATAAACAGCCCATTTCCTGCTCTGATGCTCTAATGGACTAATTTATGATGCCAGATATAGTGTCCTGCACTAGAAAGACCAAACTGGTCACTCAAGCTAGAAGCCTGTTTCCTTATGTAGGGAGAAGCGTGCATCAGTGGACAGGTCAAATGACAACGTTCCTAGGCAGCAATATCTAGCAGGTTGAATTCATACTTAATGAGCATGAACCTATTACAATATGCCCCATCATTGTCAGGAAGGATAAAAATGATGATGGTGGTAATCAACTTTATAAACTTTGTTGAGACTGCAAAGATATCCAAATAAACCTAGAGAGTGCTAGTTGTAATTGTCTTTTCCCATTTTATTTTAGATATACATTTTTAGGTATTTTCTTTGTCTGGTAAGACAAAGCTTCATTTGGAAATAAAGACCAAGGGACATGAACCAATTTCCATGATGCAAAGACAGAAACATCAATGGTTAGATGAAGCTGTTCTATAAACACAGGAAATAGCATAAAAGAAGTATTATAATTAAAAAAATATATATTATAATACCCAAAATAAAAGCATATTAAAATACACTTTTAAAAATATTTTCAGCATATACCTTGCTCCTTTAAAGGTAATGACTGTTTGAGGCTTCTCTGTGCAGCGGCACTTTCTGCGTTAGCCTTTAGGAATATATCTGCAACAGTAAGTAGAAACTCCATGCTTGCACAAAGGTATATCTCTTGAACAATCACATCAAGAACAGTGCCATCTCTCCCCTGCTTATAGCTTATATCCATCATAACTTTCTTTTCAAATCCACGTTTCATTTCCACCATCCTGAAAGACCATTAAGGTGGCATTTAAAAAGACAATAAAAAAACCCAGCCATAAATACTGAAAAACACTCAAGATTCTGACTCCAGCTGCAATACATTAAGAGTGAATTTAAAAAGTAAGACCAAAAATTTGAAAACACGACCAATAAAAACATTACCAAAAATTATGTAAAACTTCAAAACTAAGTGGACTACCATACATTGGCAAACAAAGGTGTTCATAATTTTAACAAGCCAAATCAAAAGTACTATACTTAACTGAAGTTTGATAGTCTTCATGAAAAAAAAATTAGTCTCACTTAGCCATCAGATTATTAAAGCTGAAAGTGAAATTTCTTTGTTTCTATATGCATTTATTAATTTCATATTTAAAGTTTGTTTTATTTCCTATTTAAAGTTTGTTTCTAGCATTTATGTTGGTCTCTCATAAACAGTATGTGGAACAAAAGGCAACTAAGACACATAAGTCTACAATAAGGTACTTTAAGCACCACCTACATGAAACAGTTGCAGTTTTAACAGAATACTAAAATGGAAAAATCTGGAACTCTGTCAAACTCCAATAAACAGTAATTTATGTCAAAACACAGACCTTGGTGTAGCCTTCTGGATTGACTGTCTTTTATCATCTAACGTACAGTTTGCCAGCTTGACTGAAGCATTCATTGAACCATCTGATAACATTTTGACAGCAGCTGACATCAAAACTAACTTAAATTCTGCAAGTTTCAAAAGGTCATCTCTCTGATCCAAATTTGTAACCTGTTTAAAGCAAACAAAAATACGTTTGTAGATTTGCTTGCAGGTAATAAAAATAACACACAGGGGTGATACACAGCTTTTTTCTAACTGGTAAGATTTTTAATAATAATATATTAAATAAACCCAGTGGTAATTTAAAAGACAACAAAAATCACTATCATACAGAAAAAAACCTGAAAAAATGTCAAGCTTTACCCTTCTACCACCTTGCTAAAGCAAGCTTACATTACTGACAGGAAGACAATGTTTAAAAGAAAGCACAACTATCATAAGCAATTTTTGTTTGCTTGCTGTTGAAACATACATGGTACATGCAAAGACGCCAAGTAAGAAATTAAGTTTCGTCCTTATGGCTACATACTGTTTAGCCAGATACTGGAAAACTGTTCAAAACCCAAAATAACAGACTATTAAGTTTACAATAAAATATTGCCAAACTTTTCATCAGAAACTTGCTGACAAGTTTTGTAAATTTAAACCAAAAAGAATAAAAATACATTCATATTGTAACACAAATATAAAATTTCTCTCCACAATTTTCTTTATAGATATGTGTGTGCGTCCACACATATGTGTGTAACTAAAGAAGAGGTTATATCCCTCTGCATTTTTTTCTTCCCAAACTGTATTTTGAACTAAGATAAGTTTTCAGCAAATTTTTAGTCAGATAACAGAAGATGCCACATACTACATGCTATCGTTGGTTTTTCTCTTTCCCGTAGTATCTGACATGCTATGTAGCTAAAAAAGCTAGTTATCATTTCCACCATGTTTGTTACTATTGCTAGAAATCACTTTCTCTGGTCATAAATTAAAGTATTCCCATTCATAATTTCTAGGACCTTAGGTAATCTTAAAGCTGTTTTTTCCTCTTTGTAACCAAAATTATATTTACCTGTTTTGAATTTGGACTATACAATACTAAAGTCAGAGAGTCGAATCTGAAATCCAGTTTTAGCGTTGTTTTTATTTTCATAGGTGAATGCAATTCCACCACAGCTGATGTCACAACAGTTACACCTTTCAGAAATTAGAAAAACACTTAATATTAAAGAAAATTACCTGACTGCAAATAAGGGGGAAAAAAAGGGGAAAAAAAACCCAAACCAAAACACCAAAACCAGCATCCTCTCTAATTACTATAAAGACAAAAACTTCCCTTTTCCTACACATGTAAATCCATGCACACTTAGGATATGTTTATCATTCCCTCTGTAATTACTTTTAGCAAAAACACATAATGAGAAAATTAAATACTCTGCTTATATATTCTATATGCAATTTTTACATCTTTAAGACATAAATGCACAACTTCCCTTACTTCCCTTACAGTGTCCTACGGTACTGTAAGCAAGAACGTTACAAAGAATACAAGTTTAGTTTCACCCTCATTTGTTTATCTTGCCACTTGTTTTTGCTATTTTTTTTCACATTTAATAGAAGAGTTCAACAAAATATTCTTCTCTTAACCTTACCTGTCTTTTTTTTTTTGTGTGTGCTGAACAGCTTATGGGCAATGATGCCTACTCAATAGAAACAACTTTTATAGATGCCATCATTATGCCAAGACAAACAGAACAGCAACAGAACCAGCTGAACAGAGTAAGAAAAATAACATAGCAACTGCCCAAAGTCGGGATGCTACCAAATCCAGCTGACAGACTTTTAGGTGCTCACTGCATTATTGCCAGTAGAACAAGATAGTCCTTACATTAAAACACATCATGCTACAAAACTCACTACAGTGGCCAGTTGCTCCTATCCATTATCATTATTGTTGCTCAAACCACAATGTCAAGATAACAGAGGCATACTGTTAAAAACAACTGAATCTGGCATGCTTTCATAAAGGCAATTCCAACAGAAATAATAAATTGACAGTGATACCTAAAAATGATAGACCACATGTAATTCTAGAAAACATTACCTGCAGAGTGCTGTGAAGTACTATGCATGTCACTACAATTGCTAGTTGTATCTTTTGGTTCTGGTAAAGATGTTGATGTGCCAGAGCTTCCACCTATATTTTCATTTAGTGTCCTCAATATTGTGGTAATATCTTCTTGACTGAGAATTAGCTTAAAAAATATATTATTATTAAACTCAGAACAAGTCAGTTCATTAAGCTTTTGGTAACTAAAATCTAAATTTAAAAAAAAAAACCCCAAACCAAACAGATAATCCAAATTAATCTCATCTGAGTCTCTGTTTAGGAAACTAAAGAGCCAAGTAAAATGTTTTTCTCAAATCCACAAAATTCCTTACAACAATAACTTCCAGAAATCAGAAGTCACTCACACATTATTTTGGTTTTGTCTACAAACTTTCTCTACAAAGCTACAATTTAGAAATTCAATGGTAGAAGTTGTACATGTATAATTTGATTTATAGTTGCCTGAAATTGTTATCTGCATTTAGTTACAAGGTACTTTACAGTAATGGTTACTAGTTCTATTTCAAGATTTGGCAAATTTGTTTTACTCATACATCCGACAAGCAATGTATTTTTTATGTTAAATTTAAATTAGCACATACTGTTAACTCATACTCAGGCTTGTCATGGGTATGAATTTAGCAGGTGATCCTGCTGTTAATATACAGACCAATAAACCTTAATTTTTTCCAGTCCTTTGAAAGATACTAACTGACAGGTAACAGAAGGCTATAACAGCATACCCATTTCTAACTAGCAACAGTAATACGTAGTATAAAGCCTGACTGCAGTATCACAGATGAAATACTGAGTTTAGATACAAACAGAAAGCTTCTCACTTTCTTTTTCTCTATGAAATAACAAAATCCACTCTACCTACATGTCTTGACATCAAACAACACCCTAACTAAGGAACTTTGACTTTTATGTACAGAAAAATGAACCCATTTTACATGGATACTTTAACATCTGCTTTCAGAAATGAGTGCTTACATTCATAGGCTTGAGTCGGCCAGATATTTCAATATCAGGAACTTCGTTATACCATGCAGCAGCTAAGTTTCGTTCAACAGCTACTTCCAGATTAAGTGGCTGCAGCAACTGTACTTCAGTTTGCAATGAACCCTGCTCATAGCATGATCTGTGAACAGAAACAAACAAAATAATCCCAGCTTCATTTACACTTCTAACAAACACATTTCTGTCTTTTCCTCATCTTTTTGAATAGTATTGTAAAACAATGTTTACACTACTCCTAGTATCTCTAGTTAAAGACACAGACCACCAACTAGACAACTTTCCTTGTCAAGGAGGAGGCCCATTGAGCACATACCAGACATACAACATACTAACTTATTGCAAGTTAGGATCTTTTACCAGCTCTCCACTGGAAATCAATTCCTTCTTCCTTCGGTATTCTTCAACTGTGTTTGAAAATTCCCTTCTCTCTCCCAATCCCCTGCTCCAAGGCCCATTTTCAAACACTTCTTTAAGGCAACCTGACTTGATATCTCTCCTGCTACATATAGCTTGAAAACTCCATCAAAACAGCAATTTACAAATGGGTATAATCTGTCCCAAAGTACTGAATGATGCATAAGTCTATTATTCTACACAATATTCCCTAAACAATCACTTGCTTCTATTAAAAGATGTGTAGGTTGCTATTTCTCCCAAACCATACATTTTAATTGCTTTAAAAAAAATCTTTATTGATTTGCTGTTATATTTCAAGATAACAGTATATCCGTCACCCACCAACCATTCACTAATTATTTTGATAACTTCTCAAAGCTCTCCAACTGAAGTATCCCAAAGGATTACATGAATTTAAAAAAAAAAAAAACCAACTTGACAACAGATTACCTGTATAACTTTAGTTCGCTCAATTTCACTGTCATAGAGTCAATAACAGGCGGGAGATTATACCGTGTTTTTGTTTTAGCGATAAAGAACTGGTTCTTCACAGTGATTAGACCAAGATCAGCCACCAGGACATTTGCAGACATTGCTGACTGTGGGACTATCACAACAGGTGCTTTAATATTGATATCTAGTGCCAAACGGGAACTCCGCTCCGCTAGCTCTTTTACACCTGTAGCTGCTTTCTCTGCCGCTTGAACAGTTGCCTCAGTAAGAGCTTCCTTGGCAGCTTGAAAGTTATTTATAAAAGCCTAGGAAAAGAATACAGATCTTGGGAATTTTATTAAGAATTACAATACTTCAAAACCACTAAGAATCACAGTTTTTTAAATAGCAAGCCATCTTAGGATACTATTTTTGCTTCGCACTTTTTCTAAATTCTGTAATAGGATAATCTTCCCCCAAAATATGTTAAAGTAAGCATATATATACAAATTAATTTCCACAATAAATATCTAGCAAATCAGATAGTAACAGCAATGACTTCGTAACATGACTTGTATGAATTACATTTTATTTACTCATATGGAGAGCAAAAGATAAGATTTACTTAGCAGAATTTATGGGAAAGGCATTGATTTTAATGGTTTATTACTCATATTTCAGTGTTATAAACAACGAACTGCGTATATCTAACAGCTGCCACAAATCATTTAAAGAAAAAAACTACTAACAATAGCAAATGTTGTTGCTTAGTGACTCACTCCACAATAACAAAAATATGAAGGAAAAAAAAGTAAATAGCCCAACCATTGAATCTAGTGAAGTTTTTGCAATAGTATATAACAGTTCTTACATAAACAGACACCACCCCACATGGGATGCCTTATCCTTTTCTAGCTCTGACAATGTTATCTGAATGCTAAGGAACAGTATCTGGAAAATTTAACTTACCAAAACAGATGAAACAAACTTGTTGACAAAAACTACTTGAATACAACCAACAGTTAGGTAAATACGATTGTCAACAACATCCATATTGGTATATGCAATGCCATCTGTAGCATTCATATATGATATCATTCTAAAGTTGAAGACTTCTTTTCCTGTGATGTAAAGAGCCTTAGGAGGAAAAAAGAGGAAGAAGAAAAAAACATTATCTCTGCTGTAAAAACTTATGCTGGAGAAACTGAAATCCAAAATAAAATATAGTACCTCTCATTTCTAAAGCATTTTTATTTCCAATATCACAACTATAAATTAAAGAAAAATTTCCTTGAAATAGCTGAAAATATTCAGTTGGAATCTCATTCAGCTTGAATAATCTGTCCACTAAAGTCAACAAAGTAAGGAGCATAATGAGCAGCTGGACACCACAGTTGCACAAAATCAGTGTTGGCCTAAACAGTCACCAGTTGTGAGAGTGAAATCAGTCTACGTATAGAGAATAATGTTCCCACTAAATACACAAAACATTATTTTAAAAAATAAAATCAACACAGTTAAAGTCCACAAAGTAAGTTCAATTTAGCATTTATATTCCCTTCAGAAATTAATGATACATGCTATTGTATACCTTTTTATACAATGCCATCTCATCAGAATCCACAATAATTATGTTCTTCAATTTTGCAGTCACTTCTGTTGCTGCTTTCTTCATGGTGACTTGGCTATCCAGACCTTAAAAAAAAAATAAAAAAATTCTATATATACAAAATCTAGAGACGATTCTGGTTACAAAGTTTTGTGCCTTTATGATTAAAGTTTTGTTCCTACCTTCAATGTGAATTTCTGCTATTCTATGTTTTTTTTCTCTAATAAAGATACGTAAACAGGATAAATCTGCACAGATATTAAGGTCGATAACATCTTCATACTTTGATTTTTTTGATGCTGTGGGAAATACAAAATAATAAAAATTACAGTTTTTCAAGGAGGTTATGTAATATTTTCAGTATCCCTTCCCCAAAGCCTAGTTTGTATCAAGCCTGCTGCACTGGCAAAATGCCCTGCAGTCATACTAGCAAATGCGACAAAAAGGAATTGTATATACAGGAGTCCTCATGTGCTTCACAGACTGTGGTAATCAACACCAGTATTTTACTGATTGCAAGAAAAACATTTAAGATATATCTACACAGCACAATATAAAATTACAGATCGGTTATTCAGGACTAAGCAGTTTATCTCAAATAGTGGTAATATGATAGCTACACTAATGCAGTACTCTATTCGGTCTGTTCATTAGTCACCTGCAATCAAAGGTTCACAAACTTTATTTTCTAAAATTAAGTTTTAAACATGAAAATACCATTAATATAACTAAACACTGAAGAAAAGGGACAGTAGGCTTCCTTCAGAATGAGTATAGGCAACCTTAAGCCTTACAAAAGATACAAGCATAAATACAGTACCTTTCTGAACAGAGGTGTCCAAATATTTAGTCCATTTTTGGTTTTCCCAAAATTTGATAGAGTAAAAATATTCTATTTCATGTTAAAAAAAATAATCTATGTTCATTTTGAGTAGACATGACTGACGTCACACAATACTATATGCAGGTACAGTGCTAAATACAGAAACTCAACCAGTAAACAGTCCATTTTCTCTGAAAGGCAAATCTGAAGTAATGTTATACACTACTTGAAACGACAAAGGGAAATATCATACCTTGTACTCAGGGGCTTTGAGTCCTAAGGGGTAAATTCTTATAGGTAATCTATATACAAAGCTAAAAGCAGCAAAATTAAAAGTAATAAATATTCAACTCATTCTTCCACAGCCTAGCTTTTCTGATGAGATACTACCTTTTGCTTGAGTAAGCTAAGGCTTTCTCACAATAAAGCTATGGTTCCATAAATACAACAGCTTCAGTCCCATGATTTTATTACATGTTGCTAATAGAAGACAAGCTATGGTAAATTAACAAATAACTAATCTCAGTCATAGTTTAGTCTGCACAGTTGTAGAGAAGTGGTGGAGAAAGAGGGAGGAGAATCACCTATGAAAGCTTTTCAGCTGTGCAAAGTCTCAATTGTCACATGTTAATACATAAGAAACTAATTTAATCCTTTGGCTCCAAGAATTCTGTAAGATATCAAATACTTCAGTGTTTGCCTGCATAGTAAAATGTCTCAAAACTAGAGAAATGCTGAATCTTCTGTCCACAGCTCTCAATAAGCCACACAACAGAACTCTAAGTTCACAGACTATCATAGGTACACAAATGGTATTTCATCTAGTGTCCAAGCATAGAATTATAAAATTGTTTTGGTTGGAAAACACCCTTAAGATCACAGAGACCAAACACTAACCTAACAGTGCCAATTCTACCACTAAACCACATCCCTAAGCACCACATCTCCACATCTTTTAAATACCTCCAGGGACGGTGACTCCACCACTTCCCTGGGCAGTCTGTTCCCATGCTTGACAAGCCATTCAGTGAAGACATTTTTCCTAACATCCAATCTAAACCTCCCTGCAGAGGGATTTAATTTCATTCACCACAATTCTTGGGTCTGGCCATCCAGCCAGATTTCCACCCAGTGAAGAGTACACCAGTCAAAGCCACAAGCAGCCAGTTTCTGCCTGAGAATGCTGTGGGAAATGGTGTCAAAGGCTTTACTAAAGCCCAAGCAGAAAACATCCACAGCCTTTCCCTCATCCAATTCACTGTGTAACTGAAATCAAACAACCACTGTGAATGAGAATCTCACACACACAAAAAAAGTAACTTTTCCCTCACAGATCAATAGTCCATCTTTTACTTCTCAGTTCTATGATGCAACGGAGACCTACAAAACAACTTCAAAGAATGAGCTGAGGAACTAACTTCTTAACAGTCTGATGGAATAATAAAAAAAAAATCATCAGCTGAAACAGCAGCCATGTAACATAGTAATACACTTCCCACATCTCATCCCAACTAATCTCTTATCATTCGTAAGGCAAATATTCTATTATCATCTTCTTTCATCTACCCCTGAAAAACAGAGGCTACAAACCCTTTTTTCTCTTAGTTTGTTAATAACCTCTTTGGCTCCAGATATGATCATTCCCTTTCACAATCCTTAAAAAATTAACTTTATTTATCTCATTTAAGTATGTAAGGGAAACAAATACTCAAATCCCAAGAACAGCTGTGCTTCCAAACCCTTGGATTTTCTTTCCTAATACAGGTACCATTTCTGCATCAAGTTCTTCTTCAAAAAACCAGTATCAGGCTACTAATCCATCAATCTCCCATAAAAAAATCATGAACCCTCAGCAACACTGTGAATTAATCACTGAATATGAGTATACACAAGACTTAAACATGTTTCTGTTTTGCCAAACAGAAATAACTTTGTAAAGGCAGCACAAATCAACCTTCCCAAAGAAATCTTACCAAATGTTGCAAATGTGATACTTGGGGTTTAAAGATACTGAACTATTACTGAAGTTTAACTTGAAATGCTCATAACAACTAACATCAGAAAATGCAGGCAGCCTCAGAAAGATCTCACCAATATACCAGCGGGTTGGCTACATCAGTCATATGAGGAAACTACTGAAATCAGTAATGCAGAGAAAGCTTTATAATACTTCAACTAGATTAATCTTGAGAATTATCCTCAACCATAGTTTTTGTGTGTGTATTTTCTTTTTTATTTTAATAACTAGTTGGACCCTCAGTGGTTTATGATTCACAGTAAGGAATGAGTGCAAAAACTCTGAGAATTCCTTCTCAGAGCAGAAATTAACATAACTGACATAAAGTTGAGCATTTAATAGAAGCATTCACTTCAAAGTAGCTCCCAGACACAAGATCAAAAGATGGAGGTGATATATTTGTTTGCTCTCATGTGTTCTTTAAATCATAGCAATTTATACTAATGAACACTATTACCAGCTTCTTGTAACAAAAGATTGAAAATGTTCAAGCCATCTTCTACCATGCAAGAACTTCCTATGTATTACACTTCAAGGTAAATCCAAATTCATGTTCCATTTCACAAACTTAAAGCAACAATTCCAACAAATTACTCCTACAAAACTGGTGCCAAGCAGAATTTAGCCATTCAGCAAATCAGTAGATCACTAGTAACCAAAACTGTCCTGGAAATTACAAAATCCCATAGTGTATATTTTGTACTAATGTCTACAGCCATGTCTACACATCAATAAATTGCTAAATGAGTATTTATCTGCAGGTTACAAACATAAACCAACAAAATTATTTTCATGATGGGAAGAAAGATAGTGTACAAAGTAATTTCACTGAGGAGTTAGGAAAAATGGTAATTATGGTACTATTTGGAAAGCACAAAAGTGTCTAGAATATATTTAATGCACTTATCATAGAAAGTTTTCATCTTCATGCTAATTTTTCTAACCCATAAAGTTGTGGGTTGGTTTTTTTTTTATTTCTTTACTTTTTACAAACACCTTTTCCATATAAATGCTGTAATGCAGAAATACTTTCCTTATTATATGGGAGAACACCATTAGGAACATAATCACCACCAGCAAGCCACCATTCAACAGATCACCGTAACTAAATGAATTTGAACTCAATCTTCAAAAACACATGCTTAGTATTTCTACCTCAGGAAATGTCAACAGCTGCAGCATCTGCCTTGCCTTATTAATTATACAGTTATTCCTCACCTACACACTCCAGTCAGGGAATAAGAGTATACACTTGCTACTCCACAGTACTCTGATGTCTAACATTCTTATTACCACTGACATTAAAAAAGTCTGCAAAGGGGTTAAGTAAATATATCCTAAACAAAATTTCTCATTTCAAAAGTCACTGACAGGCTTACAAAAATAGAAAATATGTCTGTTTTCTTCCTTGCTTAAGTAAGTGAAGAGAGAGGAATGAAAAGAGGAAGGAAAAAAAAATAAACTTACTTAATTTCTTAAGAACATCCTTCTTCTCCTCTATTTTTTCATGGACTGGTTCTTCTGCAACTTTAGTTTCTTGTTTGGGTAGAAGATTATTCAGATAGTTTATAGCACTCAGCAAAGCTTCAGTATGCAAATGAATATCTAGAGATGAAAAGTTCACCTAAAAGAATAAACTATGTTTATTCAATATGCTTCTCTTCCCACAATGAGAAAATTATGGTAAAAAATATATCATACCTTTATTTTCTGTAGAACATTCTGATAGACAGTTTTCAGCTCTGGTCCATTAATATCAGCCTATTCAAAAAAAAAAAAAACCACAGGGAAAACAAACAAGTGAGAAGTCTGCAAATTTCTTTAAAGAGAACTTATTTCAAAACCCACTACAACTGAAGATGTACAAGTTAATCTGTTCAGGAAGCAGACAGACTTTGCACATGACACTCAGTATCTTAAGAAATGAGTAAGTAAGGAAAAACATTCAACAATTGCTCAAATATTGTACCCTTTACGATAGGCTTAAAATTCAAAAGCAAAGTCTGCTCTTTTCTCACCTTTATGTACTCCAGAGTGAGAAGATCATCTTCTACGTTATCCAAAGTGGTAATTATGTAAACTGGCTTGTCATTATCATCTTAAAAAAACCCCAAAAGAATACAAATATTAATTTTTTTTTATTTTTTTTATTTTTTTTTAAGAAAAAAAACTGTCAAGTTTTCCACCACTCTCTTAATCAGCTATGGAGTACAAACTAGGCTACTAACTGTCAATACCAGTTAATCGCAAAATCTCTTCTGCAGACCTAAAATAGCTAGATGTCTCTACTAAAATCATCAGCACTAGAACATATTTACCAAAGCAATACTAAAAGAATGAGCTCCTGAATTACTTTTCCCTTCACCCTGCTCACATTTAATTTAGGAAGCAAATCTTCCTCAGTTGACAAAAGAAAGCCCTACAAGGCTTTTTGAATACAAATTCACAGTGCTATACGTGAATAATTTTTTGATCAGACTATAAATACTTACCCATATACTCTGGGCACAGTAGACAAACTTCACGAAGGAAAGCATTTCCAGTCATGTCAAATGTTCTTAATTTAAGTTCAGTGCCTAACCCTACAATATCAAGCTGCAGCACAGGTGTCTCAGTATTACCAGTAAGACGGCATAATTTAATTAAGACCTAAAATAACCCAAACAAACAAAAAAGGTAAGTAATTATCCTATTAGTTATAATATATACAATTATATATTTACACACATTTTACTGGTTTATGTGTATAGATCATTTAGCTTTATACAGCAAACGTCCTGGAAAAAAATAAACAATTCAACAAGGAAAATTGCTAGAATACTGTTTGCTGCTATTTTATCAAAGACTTCAATCATGCTCACATGTAATATTGAAGTTACACTTACATTAATGAATTCATTTTTAAAAACAACTGTAAAGCATTTAGTAATGTTCAACCCAGTCAAAACTAGATTTCCAGTCAGCAAAAAGTGACTACTGCTTTCACTAGAACTTCTTTGAGCTCTCCTGGCAAGAGTTAGATTTCTAAGCTGAGTATCAGGTAAGAAGATTTCCTACTTTTTCACTCATGCATGACAAAGATTTTATTAAATAAATACTTAGCTGAGCTTTTATCTGTCTTTCACAACCAAAGCAAAACAAAGATATGTACTCTTCCTTTCCACATAATGCTCTCTACAAATAGGGAAAAATCAAAACCAAGCCAAATAAGTCATTTTAAACTACAAAGTCAACAAACAGAGAGAAGATGATTCTTAAGAGATTCTCAACTGTATTTTTTTCTTCTAGATTGTAAGATAGTTTCTATTAGAGAATAATGTAAAATACAGTATCTATCTTCAGCCTAGTAGTTCTTAAACAAGGTCTTGTCATCAGAACATATAACAAGATATGTTGCAAGCTAGTTATGATGTGCCAAAGCCATTCTGTAAGCCCTACCCTATGACAGAACTTGTAAAGTTAAATGAATTTGTAGGGTTTATCTGCTAAGTTATACAGTGAGTAGCAACAATAACACTGTCATAGCCATAATGGCCTAATGAAAAAGGTAATGATAGTGGTAAGAGGCCTTCTCCTGCTAGATGTGATGTAGTTAGAAAAAATGTCTTGCATTTGGGTAAAATCCTCTTTCCCCCCTCCCCGCCCCCCTGCTCCCGAGTCTGAAACAGCAAGTATAACACATAAAACATGTCATAGTGGACATGTTACAGATTTACGTGTGAGGCCAACAGAGTCTGGGAAAAACTGGAACAGAAAAATAGGGTGCTTGTTACAAAATGAAACATTAATGAATTGCTGCCAGTGACCACAGCAGTATCTGGAAAAAAGATGTCAAAAGCTACATCTTAAGCCAAAACAAATACATAATGTGATTTTTGAGTGACAGATAGGTAAGAGGAAATTCAGTGATAAAATGAGTTAGGAAATAAAGTGGATAAATCAAAGCATTTCAGTGACAACAAGGAAGCAGAAGCACAAATGTGACTTGGAAAAAAACTCTACAGAATAGTTTCAGCAAGAACTAGAGAATCAGTTCTTCTACAGACATGGATTCATGAACACAATAAACATGGAAAAATTACAGTTCAGATGTGCTTCAGAAAGATAACTTTACCTCAGCTACTTCAAATCTTAGCTGGAATTCTATCATATTTTTCAAAGATTCTTGTTTATGTAGTTTTTTTCGTCTTGTACTGCTAACTCGCTTGAGGGAACCAGATGGGGCTTCAAAAAATGGCATGTCTTCCACAGGACTGCTCAGAGCATCATAAAATTCTTCTTCTGATTCTAAGGATTAATTCACAGGAACATTACATATACATTTTAGCAAATATTTTGCAGTACTATGACCTAGAATTTTTATGTCTACAGATATAAAAACCTAAATGTACAAGTATGGGAAGATTACCTAGCTAATAATTAGCAATCATCAAAGTCTGTTTCTATAATAATCTCCACTCCTGCCTCCTGCAACTTTTCACCACAACTACTGCTCCCTCTATCGTGTCATCCTAAATCAGTTCTTGTCTACTAAGTCCTTCATCAGCATTCTCTCACTACCAGCTATGCAAAAGGCAGCACAAACCACGGCTCATCTTGCCTTCGTTGTACACTAATAGTTTATTAACTCTTCCACTGGTCTGAATGCTGCTGACTGTACAGAAGCCTTTGCCTCACTATCAGTGGCACTACTTCGGATCTCTCCCTGCCACGGATCTCCATTTCAGAAGATACTCCTAAGGGCTATCAAGCTTCTAATCCACCTGACATTATTATAGAAATATAACCAAGACAAACAGATTGCACTATCTGATGAGGCTCTTTTTCTTTACTTAAAAACCATAAACAGTGAAGTTAGGTAACTGGAAGAAGTATCCTTCTTCTGACAAAACTGGACAAATTACATTAAGAGGTATTTTCTAAGGCTAAAAAGTACCCTTGCGTCTGAGGAGGCTGAAGACAGAGAAATGATATGAATCAGTTAAGACTGCACAGCTGTGTGTACACTACAAATTAAAACCCTGTTTTGATCCAGTCTAAATCTAGTTATTACTTTCTCAAATTAATTGCTGCAATGTTCACCCTAATTTTTAAGAACTGAAAGACACTTTCTACCTTTCAGCACTTAAAAGGATCTCATACAAAAAACTGATGAAGATGCACAGATGCATATTTCTATACATACTATACATACACTGAATTTAAAGTGATAAAGTATATGTAAAAATTAACTTTGCTGATAATTTTGCTAGTGTTTGCAAACCACATATATCATTAACTTGAGAGCGTATTGTTCTCTGTTTCTCCAGTGGAGTATTTTGGTATGATAAAGGTGATTAACACTGATATATCTGATAATTTTTCAAATGTACCTACTAGATGGAATTTTACAATCTACCTAAGCTGTTTGAATAGCAAGGCAGTACTAAACATGATCACTTTCTCCACACACAGTCTTCTGTTTGATTGAAGAAGTCAAAATTACGTTTGCTTATAACAACACAGCAGATTCTAACAGTCATTGCGTCAGTATTTTGTAATTTAAATAAATCCAGCTAAGTAGGAGAGAAATCCTTCATCAGAAGAACGTAATTAAAACCATCACCAGAGGACTAAGTACATACTGAAGCAAAAAATGACAGACTACTTCAGATGTTCTGAATAAAGATTTTAGTAACATATGCAAAGATAAATAAACCCATTCTACCAAACAAACTTTTTACTGCTTTGCCTTCAGAAAGGGAATGGCAAGAACAAAAATACAGAATTTTCCTGCTATGAGAAAATACACAAATATTTTGTACAGATTGAATTATAGTAAACTGCACAGAATATAACACTACTCAACCTTTAAGAACTTGAAACAAAGCCACAAATGATCAATTACTCCAAGACAAACAAATTAATTCAAATAACTCAAAAACTTGACCTGTTTATTAAATCAGACTTTAAAATAGATCGTATTACCTGACTCAGCAAATGAATGAAGATCCAAAACAGGAAACACACCTTGTGATAAATGCGGTGCTGAGAGCACAGGGGATATTGCAGCCTGAAACAGGAGACACCATAAATTTTTTTGCTTCAATTTGTTGGTCATGCTATTGCATGCACATATGCTACACAGAAGTTTTACAGCTTAAGGAAATTGGTCTTATTTTAAGTGAAAAATCATTAGAGTTAAACCCTTAACATTACTAAAATTAAAAGCATAGGGAGAAATGAGGCCTAAATCAGGTAAAAGCAGCATTCATTTAGCTACAGAGAGAATACATCAGGGAACACTGAAGAGATTCAAACATCCAACTTCACAGATAGAAAGATGGACAGACAGAAACAGTACATCATTTGAAAACTCAGGAAAGACAAAACCTAGTCTTCCACAGGACTACAGTGTGGCAATTTCAGAGAACAATAAAGTCAAATCGTAAACCTAACAGTGCCAAGCCCACCACTAAACCATGTCCCTAAGCACCACATCTACACGTCTTTTAGAAAACATTAGAGCAGACAGATTTGTTTCTAAATTTCATAGAAGCATAGAACCACTTAGGTTGGAAAAGACCCTCAAGATCATAGAGTCAAATCGTAAACCTAACAGTGCCAAGCCCACCACTAAACCATGTCCCTAAGCACCACATCTACACGTCTTTTAAATACCTCCAGGGATCGTGACTCCACCGCTTCCCTGGGCAGCCTGTTCCAATGCTTGACAAGCTGTTCGATGAAGAAATTTTTTCTAATATCCAATCTAAACCTCCTCTGGCACCACTTGAGGCCATCTGCTGTTGTCCTGTCACTTGTTACTTGGGAGAAGAGACCCACCTCACTACACCCTCCTTTCAGGTAGTTGCAGAGAGTGATAAGCTCTCCCCTCAGCCTCCTTTTCTCCAGACTGAACAATCCCAGTTCCCTCAGCTGCTCTTCATAAGACTTGTGCGCTAGACCCTTCACCAGCTTCACTGCCTTCCTTTGGACATGCTCCAGCACCTCAATGTCTTTCTTGTAGTGAAGGGCCCCAAACTGAACACAGTACTCAAGGTGCGGCATCACCAGCACCTAGTACAAAGGCACGATCACTTCCCTAGTCCTGCTGGCCACACTATTCCTGATAGAAGCCAGGATGCTGTTGGGTCTTCTTGGCCACCTGGGCACTCTGCTGGCTCATGTTCAGCCTGCTATCGACCAATACCCCCAGGTCCTTTCCCATTGGGCAGCTTTCCAGCCATTCTTTCCCAGGCCTGGAGCACTGAATGGAGTTACTGTGAACCAAGCCTTTTTGAATCTCATTTCTTCATGTGTCTGGAAAAACATATGCTAGCAGAGTCTTTAACTGTGAGATGTAGTTATGCACAACCCAGAGAAGTAACTGAAAATGTGTGAAAAGTCACTGTTTTGCCACAAGAGCAGACAAAGGGACAAGAATCCTCATTCCCATGTGGCATCATATATGACAAAATTAAATTCTCTTAGTGAAGAGAACAGTTTATTCACCAAAGTCAGATTTCCTATCAAGCCTCAGAAAGTTGTCTCAGTGGTTTGAGTTTGTAAAGAATTCTCATCTGCATGTTCCATGTGCATATTTAGTATACATGTGCCTTGCACAGAATACTAGAGTAAGGAGAGATGTATGTGTTGTCTGTGCCCTTGTTCTTCTTGAGTACCTGTGGCTCTGGACTACACAGATGACAGTAGTTTTCTTTTTTTTTTTTTTTCCCCTGTTACTGTTATTTTCAAAGCTCAGCCTCAGGCAATTATGCAGTAACACATAGTATCTTACAGAAATCTAAGTATTATTGCAACAAAGAAACATTCCTATTTGAACATTGTTTCATCTCACTCTCCACATTCCACTAGTGTCTCTTCTCCATCTCCAGCCTACATACTTTGACCATACTGAATATATCCATGTCTACAAGGGATAGATAGACCAGGTCTCTAAGAGTCTAGTAACTGTGAAAGTGTCTCATCTGTAACACTTCCACAGTCTGACAAGAAGAAACTGTGAGACTTGACTTCACAGTACCAAATCATGAGAAATAAAGCCTTCCACACTGCAGAGGACAGCATTCTTGTACTAAAGTGAAGAAACCGCAGGGTGCCAAAAACCTAGGCAGATCTGTTCTGAAGAGTCTTCTGTTTTTTTAGCCCAAGAACAATTCTACACTAATTCAAAATGTAAAGAAGAAAGTTCACACATGGAGTTCTGAAAAAGGATTTCACATCCTTTTCCGTTCAGAAGTGATGTGATGGCAACACAGCTCAGAAGACCTTGAGCTACAAAGACGAAAGCACGGGAATGTATCTGCCACCACCAAAGTATCAAATCCACTCAAATTAACTGAATTTAACACCGGTGGTTAGAGTCTGTCAAGCTCTGCAGCAGATGGAAGCTTGAGCAGAAAGGTTTAACCACAGGTTTTAATATGGATGCTCTATATAATGCAAATACATTCACACTGGCTCAACAGTGTTTTCTCACCTCATCTTGTACGTCACAAGTAATGTACAGGTAATACTAAGCACATCAAAGTCACTTAAATTTTTTTAAATGTAATTGAATTCTATCATTAAATTCAAATACAGGCAATGTTATAAAGTAGAAGATAATCATCTTACATGTGCTCATTTTATTCATGTAAAACTAAAATTCCATTGCTTAACTTTGAAGAAAGTTTGTCTGTAATAAATTCCACAAAACAACAGAGACCAGGACACCTTTCAGCTGGGAATACTATTAGTATATGAAGGGTGAAAGAGGAGGTCAGAACTAGCTAGAATTATAATGTCACCACTAAAGAGATTGCAGGAACTACATGTTGAAGGAAAACAATCTTCACTTCATATATACTTTTAATAGGTATGCATGTCTAGTTATGTACATTTACAGTTACTCAATATTATGCTAACATAACCCACAGAAAACACCACCAAAAGTGCAGCAACAGGCATCCAAAACAGGGCAGAACCATTTGTATAAAGATGGAAAGATAATTATTAAGTAATCTTTAAAAAAAACCACAACACAATGATGACTCTTACTCCTTTAGAATCAAGTACACAAAAGATTAAATATCATATAATTAGAAGTATTTACAAATGACAGAAAAATGGATAGCCTAATTTTGTCTCAAGGTCTCTTTGACCTTGAGATTTCACATATGTTCAAATGATAGGACTGTTTTAAAGATATATAAAACATATCCAGATTATGTAGGCTACAGTGATGTTAAAAATTAGCAATTTGGAGTTAATTTCTTAGTTTTGTTAAAACCAGCTCATATTGAAAGAAAACATACTTTTCAGGAACAATAACAAGAAAGTGGGAATCCTTTGTGCTGAAGAAAGCATAAAACAGTGACTCGAACCATTTTCACTAAGGACAAGGGTAGGGGAAGTGGGAAGAGAACTCACTCCATGCTCCTAAACCTTAGAAATGCAAGGTAGAACTGCTGCCCTCTCAGGTAGGTTGTATAACTAAAGAAAAGCTGGAAAGAGCAGGGAAGTCAGCTGAAATGCAGTTGCCACATTTGCCAAGCAGGCACTGTGCAGCCAACATTAGTTGCAGATAGTGGATATTTTTTGTTTTGTTTTGTTGGGGGGGGGGGGGGGGGGGTTGTTTGTTTTTAAGTTAAACTCCTGTCTGACTAAGATCCACATAATACTTCAACTTCAAAAAATTTCAAGGAATTGGAATTCCTTTTCCTCACTAAATCAAACAGCTGAACCCAAACTCTGCAGCACTCCAACACGTGTGTAAATTTGAAGGTACAACTAAACTAATCCTCAACAAAAGTCAGTATGTTCATTAATCAAGAGTAACATGAACTTCAAAGTAATTCCCAAAGTAGTAAAAGTTTGGGAGCTTTTTTATTTTAAATTCAACCACTGGACAACTATTTAATAATTATTGGCTAAAGATCACAATAAGCTAACTAAATAATAAGCAAAATTTCTATAGCTTTAGAGAATTAGCTAAGTTTTTCAAGAGGTATGAAGTAAATGCCTGTTCTCCACTTTCCTGTGTTCCTTTCAAAACCACAATGCTAATAGCAAGAGGGTATTTTTCTGATAATTATTAATGAAATATTTTTTAAAAACTTACCTCACTTATTTTTGGAGGAGAGCTGGTACCAGGAGCACTTTCTGGCTTGGGAATGCTATCAATTAGCTCCAATATTCTTGTCAGCTTCTGGTCTGATATTTGGATAGAAAGTAAAGGCAACTGTCCAGACAGCTTGAACCTGTTTTATAAAAAATCAAAGTTATCTTAAAACTATTTCATACAAACACTCATCAAACCATCGTATGTTTTGTGTGTGTGTGTGTGTGTGAGCGTATGTATGTGTATATATATATATATAGAGAGAGAGGTAACTTCTGTTGCACACAGAAGAGTTACTTAACCAGCAAATACCAAGTTATTAACATAATTTATATTTCCATTTGATACAATATCTTGCACATCAGGACTGCAAATAATACTCATAACCACTTCTACTTTGGCTACACAAAGCATATTTTCCGCACAATCAGAAATTGTTCCTTTTTGTTTGTATATTTAATTTAATTAGTTGTAATAAATCACATAACAGCCTTTACACAGTATTTTACAGAAGAAAAAGTGGGTCGGGTTTGGGTTTTTTTGTGGTTTTTTTGCATAAAAATGTTTACAACCCAAAACTTCAAGCAAAGTATACAAAATACTACCTAGAAGTTACGTATAAGCTGACTCTAGCAGTAGTCTAGGCATTTAACAAAGGAATAAATGGCATAGCTATAAAGGACATAGAAGAATAAAATAAAAAATAAAGGCAGCAAAACATATATTAAACCTGTTTGAATAGGCTTTGGCCAAAAAGAATAACTTCAAACATAGACACTGACTTTTTAAAGACCTGAAATCCATCCCAGTTTCTCACAGAAGTGAGCAGAATAGAAGTAAAAAGAAAACTTGTTCCAAGAACATTATTATGCTTCTATTACAACATCTAGTTAGAACAGGTATTGAGGTCTGTTCAATAAGCCAGCCGTCTCCAACAATGGGCAGCAGCAGATGATTAACACATGAGCTATAAGGATTAGGACCCGCTATTTCCTCACAGTTTTACTGTGCTTAACTCGCAGCTCAATCTTAAAAGGAATATAATACATTGGAGAAGACGTGAGGACAAAAACCCCAAAGTTTTCAATCACCTTCAACTAACTTTGAGACTACAAAAACAACTAGAAAACCAGATCCTCATTCCTGAGCAAGCCAGGCACTCAGAAAGAAGCAGCAGCTGATCTGTAAGAAATATTACTATCTCAGTGGAAGAAAAAATTGCCAGTTTCTAAACACAAGCAGAAACTATTTACTGTCAAGTAAGTGACGATATGAGAATTCACAATACAGAAATAATATCCATTAGGGAAGAATTTCCCAGAATCAGTCTAGAGACATAAACTGCCAAAAGGAGAAGCGCACCTGGTAGCCAAGACAGTTAAGACTGTATTTGCATTAAGAGCAGACACTCCTTAATCCAGGTTATACTAGCATAACTTGGAGAGATGTCAATTACTAAATCTGCATTAAAATATATTCTGTTACATGACGATAGAAATAAAATCTCACTTTCTCTCCCTGAACTTTCTGACATAAAAAGACAGATTCCTGTGAGTTGTATTTCCCTTATCTCATCATCTCTACCAAACAGGGAAAAAGTAAGGAGGCAAAGAATAATACATTTTGTAAAGTCAAGCATCAACACTCAGAATCTGGCCCCCCAGCTTTCCAGAAGGTGGCACTGTTATACCATGCAATCTGCGTTCACAACACACAGCACTGGTGAGGTACATTATTTTTAGGGGTTTTTTCTGACTAAGCAAATCCTAGATCCTTCATAATTCCCTCATTTCATCAACTGTCTCTTGATGTTGCTGATTGTATTAAACAATTTTCTGCAATAGCCTAGGTCTATTTTTATGCCACTAATTTTCTGAGGTGCCTAGCTTGTTGTAGCATAAGAATATGAGCCTTACTAATGACTTAATAAAGCAGATTACCTCACAATGCATTTATGTGCCAATTTGCAAGTACTTCAGCACTAATTGGATTTTTTTAGGTAGTAGTGTCCTTATCAGAAATTAGCAAAGATGTGCTTTCCAAAATACATGCAAAGTTAATCTTTCACACTTTGACTCAGTAAACTTTTCACATCAAAGTTTCATCATTAATAGTAATATATAATTTCTTTTGAATTACTACAGTTTGCATAACCAATAGATTTTTTGCTAAACAGGCGTAAATGCGAATTCAATGCATTAAGAGCTATTTTCCTGAGATCTCTAGTAAGTAAACAAAGTGAATAATCTAAGTGAAAGAGAGGGAGTATGACAGCGATTATTTTTCAGAATATTTTTGTGCTGTTTCTAAAAGGGACTTTGTAAGTTCAGATTTTTGCTCCTCAGTATTTCCAATAAGAACTGAAATCCAGCTATTAGAAAGACTTGATTAGAACAGGTACTTAAAAACCTTTAAATAGATTATACATACTTATAACAATACTATATTCTATCACCTCTTCAATATCTGGCAACTTCTTGGGTTTATTCTCTACTTTTCTTGATGAAGGTATTTTACTTACAAGATTCACGCATGGCTGATGTAAAATAGCACAAGTATAATTATATTCTTGATTCTTTACTTTTTCCCCTAAAAAAAGTCATTTATCATAAAATTTCAAAATAGGAAAACACACATACTTAGGCATTCTTGCATCTGTAACAACCATAGCCCTGCTAAATTCCACTCTTACATCCAAGGGCTGCAAGATATGCTGAGATGAATATTTCAGTTTCCGAGCCTCTTGCCAGTTCTCATCTGGAAGAGCAAAAGAAAATCTATGCTTTAAAATCGAAAGGGATTCCTTCTAATTACACATATCACATAATTAAAGCATTTGATATGAGTTAGTATAGACTGCTAAAAATTCTGGTGACACAATCACTTTTACAGCTCTATCAATACATGTATATTATACAAGATCTGAACTTCAGACATTGAAGACTACTTAATAATTTCTACCATTCACATCTAACCAGCCGGCCCCTCCATGCTGCAGACTTTTAAGGGCCCAGTTCTTAGCATGCATGGTATGGGAGCTTAGGCTCTGAATTCCCATCTGGAATCAGAGGACTAAGAATTAAATGCATAAGACTTCCCTGGTTCCGACTTTCTGTATTGTTAGTTCCCAAACTATTAGTAAAAGTTTCCTTCAACAAGGGATTCTGATCCTTTCTTTACCTTCATAAGATGATCAAACCTGCAACCACTTGCAGATTCTGCTTTAAATTTGGAGGGAAGCAAGGAAAAGGTACTGAAGGAAAATATAATAAATTAAGACCACTCTCACACTTATTATGCAAGAAAACAAATGATGTTTTGGAAACTCAAAACATACTCAGAGGACTGAGTTTAGAACATGAGTTTAAAGAAGTATGTTGCAAAGATTCTCCACTGCTTCAAAAGGCACATCAACCACCAAAATATATTTACTAATCTAGAGAAATATTACTTTCATGAATACTTACCATGTTTGCTGTACAATAACTGTATACTGCTGAGCTGGATATCAAAACTGTCATAAGCTCTTGACATTATATCTTCAATTGTGCTTTGTCCGACTTTGAGTTCTGATAAATCAGAACGACTTTTGCTTTTCATCTTAAAAACAGTCACAAAAAAGCATAGATCAATTTCAAAAATATTCAAAGCACTAAATGAACAAACACTTGATCCTACCATGACAAAAATTTTAAATTTAAAGTCCTCATTATAAGGGCACAGAGTCTTACAAATATCACAGTAGAAGAGATATCTAAAAGTAGTAGCCTGTATCAAAACAGAAATTGGAGAATATTAAGCTCTGTTTCTTCTTCAAGGAAAGAAACAAAAATAAAAAATAATTAAAACCTATGAGGTCTTATACAATGTATTTTGTATAAAATAATTTACTTTAGTATGTGACTCACAAGGATAAAGTCTCGACCCCTTTCTAATCAGTAGAATAACTGGGTTTTTTATATATAAAAATATTACTTCATTAATCACTTCAGAAACATTAGAATTAT